CCCTCATTCACATGATGTGCTTCATTGGCATCACTGGCCTCTCGGATATCGCCATCACTTCTCTCGACATCCATTAATAACTGCAGAAAATCGTTATGTTTTTCATTGTTTTTCTTTCGTTTCTGTATTAAACTTCTGGAGAAGTCTACAAAGAAGTCGCTGTCAGAAGCATTTAAAGTTCGGCGGTATATATCAGAGTTTACTATAAATGAAGGCAAAAGCAATTGTAACATCCCTTTCCAAATGGGAGCAGTAAACAAATTATTGGCTTTAGTAGTGAACGGGTTGTTAGGATCGGCGTATGTATTGGTTTTGGTGGCGAAGGCACAGCTGGCGATCACATCCATAGTGTAGGCGCCCATCAGTTGCTTCAACTCGACTTCATTCATACCATTCGACACATCCTTATCCAGGCTATCGATGAAGTCTTCGCAGCAATGATTGATCAGAGCATACATTTTCCGCATCTTTCCGGACGTGAAGGTAGGGCTGGCTATAGCCCGGACTCGTTTCCAGTCGTCATCCCTCGCACTAAGCATACTCTTTGCGGTCACTCTATTACCTCCGGGAGGTGTCCGTCGGTTACGAAATGAATGAAAATCTTTGACCAGAATTTGTTTGATGAGCTCCGGGTCGGCCACTGTTAGGCAAGGCTTACCCATATTGAACACACTATTCATTACAATCAAAAAGTTTTCATTTAAAATAATTTTAAATTATAAGTTGTTTTCATGCTATGTATACCCAAACAGTTTGCCATATTTCTTATACCACTCNTAAATTATAAGTTGTTTTCATGCTATGTATACCCAAACAGTTTGCCATATTTCTTATACCACTCCATCTCCACATATGGTCGCGCTTTTAGGACAGGACTCAAAACATTTCCGAATATAGGTATGGGTTTTGGACCAGAAATCTGTCGGTCCTTCCAATAACTTAAGGCATTTTTCCACGAACTGAATGAATGAATGAATGAGTACTTAATTAGTAATTGTAATCAATATAAAGTGGATTTAAATGATATAAACTGGATGCCTTACAAGTGATAATAGGCGAGTACTGCCACAATGAGTCCAATGAGACACCACCCATATACCTGGGATATCGGCGCCAGCACTGACCACAAGAAAAATGTCATAATTGACTCGATGTTTGGTATAATATAACTATTTTAATTAGAATTGCTCATTAAAGTATTATTGAAGTTTTGAAAATGTTCACTGTCTCGTTTTATAGGACAAATGAACACCGATAATTTTGTGCACCAATTTAGTGCAACTCCGATTGACAATAAATGATAAGATACGGGTACTTTTTCTGAGTAAACATTAGGTATATTGAGTACAGTTTTCTAGGAATCAGTTTGGTATTTAGAAATAACCTATTAACATTCACATGGTATTATTGTGATCATTATGTTTAAATAAATGGTTAAAATGTTACATATTATTTATTACAGTATCAGATATACAGGCGTGTCCGGTATTAGTTCGGAGGATTTCAAACTGTAATAACTTTTTTAATTTTGCACAATGAAAAATATACCCTGTATCAAAAGAAAGTATATTTATTATAGATATAGTTTCCAGTTTATTCCGTGAAAAAATATTGAGTACAACTAAATTAAGTTCGTTAAAATGTGACCACTATATAAAAACATTTTCCAGTGTATGAACAATTATGCATAGGAACCGCATCTAGAATAAAATACTTAAAACGTTTATTAAATTAAAACTTAAATATTTAACTAATTTATTTTCGAAATTAACCATTATATTAAAAGTTAATACATTTTCTGTGTATATTTTTATTTATTTTGGTTCTTAGATTAAACTTGATAAAAATTAAAGCCAGTATATCTTGAAAAATATTGGAAATTTATAAAATATGGTTAACGGGAATTTCGGGTGACCAGACTAAGGAGGTCATTATTTTGATTGAAATGCCCATGTCATTTAGTGGTCAACAAGTATGGTCAACATATAAATGTGTTTTTATTTCAATATAAAATAGTTTTATAATTAATTTTAAATTAAACATATCCTCCGAACTAATACTGGACACCCCTGTACATGTATACTACTCATATTTTGTGTAAATAAGTATAAATAGATATTGAAATTTTAAATAAATTCAATTGTTATATATTTAGTATAAAAATTAGTCAAGTTTGTCTATTTATATTGTAAGTACAATACAATCATTAAAGTGTATACACTATTCAACAATTCTTATGAAACAAAACATTATAACAAAATAATTTGTATCATACGGTATAACTTAATTTATCCATTTGTAATATCCTGCTAAATATACACACAAATTAGGTTATCGTTTCTGAATGCCGACCACAAGCCGTTTGGCCTGACATAGAGCCCGACCCTTATTGAAGACTACGGGGACGTCAGTGTCGGTGACTCTGGAGAAGCGGAACGAATGTGAGATCTGAGTTAACGCGAGCTTTGTTGACAATAACGCGAATCGCATTCCAATGCAATGCAGTCGACCCGATCCGGAAGGCAGGTAAGTGTAGGCTTGGATGCGATCCCGGTTTTCGGGCATAAACCTATCCGGGCTGAAGGTAAATGGATCCGGATAGTGGTCGGGGTCGTGATGTATGGCATAGACAGGAATTTCGGCGATCACTCCCTTCTCGATCTTCACTCCAGTATTTCCTAACATTACGTCTTCCATGGCTTCCCTCTCGAGTCGAAGTACTGGAGGATAACTACGAAGGGTTTCGGATATGAGTGCGTCAATGAATGGTAGTCTGGATAGGACTTCGTAATCGATTTCTCCCTTTTCATTGAACACGTCTTTGGTCTCATAGAGTCTGTCCTGAAGTCCCGGATTGAGTGCCAATTCATACGTACAGTACGACAGAGTAGTGGCAATTGTCTCGTAACCGGTTAAAAAAGAGGAAACATTGGCGTAATATCTCGTCTTCAGTCAACTTCTTCTCGACGACATCACTGAGAGCCTCGGCGTCGGCTTCCATCTCATCCTTACCCTCATTCACATGATGTGCTTCATTGGCATCACTGGCCTCTTGGATATCGCCATCACTTCTCTCGGCATCCATTAATAGCTGCAGAAAATCGTTATGTTTTTCATTGTTTTTCTTTCGCTTCTGTATTAGGCTTCTGGAGATGTCAATGAAGAAATCACTTTCAGAAGCGCCGGTATTTAAAGTTCGGCGGTATATACCAGTGTTTACTATAAATGATGGCAAAAGCAATTGTAATAACCTTTTCCAAATGGGAACAGTAAACAATTGTTGGCTTTAGTGGTGAACGGGTTGTAAGGATCGGCGTATGCATTGGTTTTGGTAGCGAAGGCACAGCTGGCGATCACATCCATAGTGTAGGCGCCCATCAGTTGCTTCAACTCGACTTCATTCATACCATTCGACACATCCTTATCCAGGCTATCGATGAAGTCTTTGCAGCAATGGTTGATAAGGCCATACATTTTCCTCAATTTTCCGGGTGTAAAGGTAAGGGTGGCTATAGCCCGCACTCGTTTCCAGTCGTCATCCCTCGCTCGAACCATATTCTTGATGAGCAGTCCATTAGGCCGGGCACGTGGCTGTCGATTACGAAATGAGTTGAAATCTTTGACCAGAATTTGTTTGATGAGCTGCGGGTCGGCCACTGTTAGCCAGGGCTTCGCTGATATGTATAATCTGTAGATTCAAAAGATTGTAAATTTAGTTTTTATTTTCACGTTATAATTACCCAAAAATTTTTCCGTATTTCTTATACCACTGCAACTCCACTAATGTTCGAGTATTTAGGGATAAACTCAAAACATTTCCGAATATAGGTATGGGTTTTGGACCACAAATGTGTCGATCCGTCCAATAGCTGAAGGCTTTCCTCCACGAACTCAATGAATGAATGAATAATTTCACGAATTATTATGTTTTAAAGTAAACTAAATTTATTAATAAAATCTAATATAACTATGCCTTACATGTAGTAATAGGCGATCACCGCCACAATGAGTCCTATGAGACACCACTCGTTTGTCTGACAAATCGGTGCCAACACTGACCCCAAAATTATAATCATAATTCACCGGATGTTTAATAAATCTACTATTATTTTAAACTTAAATTTAAAACTTATAAATATTGAATAGTTTTCTCCGTGTCTTTTTATAGACAATTTTTAAAAGTCACACATTAATTGTTTTTTATATGGACAAGATCCTGTTTGAACTTGTATAACATTTACAAGTAACTCTCAAATGTAATGGTATTTACATTGTAATGTTAAGAAATTATATGTTATTAACAGTAATTTTTGCATATATTTTGGTAATTAGATTAAAATGAATGAATAAGTAATTTGGTAGTTTCAATTTGCTGTTTTAAATACCCTACTCACGAATTTATAAATATTTAAATGCCTAACCTTTATATAGTACACAAATGGCTTAACTTTTGGGGAATGAAATCTGAATTAAAAATTAAGACGTAATTTATGAATAGAATTAACTCGAAGTGAAAATTATTTTTACTGCAGATTTCATTCCCCAATAGTTACTAAACCGTATATCTAATTTGTGCTTGATCATTATTATTTAACAATTTTCATATCCTGTTACTAACAATTGAAGGTATATTCGTCATAATGCCAATTAAATATGAGGTGATGTCTAAAATAGTCTAAATTGCTTTAAAAAGCCAGACCCGCACGACCCACCGTATTCAATATCAAAACCCAACCAACCCTACACAGACCCGCGGGAACCATCCAAAACCCGCGTGTAGACCCTCATACATAGAAAACATGCGCGTTACCATAGAAACACTCATATAACAGGCATTATGGCACTCAATGTCAATTGAACACACAATTGAATCACTTGCCTTCCTCTTTGACGCCATAATAATCAGATTTGTATCACATTTTAATCACATATTTACTAAAACGTGTTATGGCATTGACATTGAGTGCCATAATGCCTGTTATATAAGTGTTTCTATGGTAACGCGCATGTTTTCTATGTATGAGGGTCTATGGAGGGTCCCCGCCAAACCCGCCACCTCCCGGAGGGACTCCCGCGCCGAACCCTCCATCATAATTTACTTCAGGACAGACTCTATGAGGAGACCAAAGAGGCGTTCAATGAAAAGGGAGAAATCGATTACGAAGTGCTGTCGAGACTACCATTCATTGACGCACTTCTGTCCGAAACTCTTCGCAATTATCCGCCAGTACCTCGACTTGGGAGGGAAGCCATGGAAGACATAACTCTTGGAGACACTGGAGTGAAGATCGAGAAGGGAATGATCGCCGAAATCCCTGTCTATGCTATACATCACGACCCCGACTACTATCCGGATCCATTTACCTTCAGCCCGGATAGGTTTTTGCCTGAAAACCGGGATCACATCCAAGCCTACACTTACCTGCCTTTCGGATCGGGTCCACGAAATTGCATTGGAATGCGATTCGCGTTATTGGAGGCAAAGCTCGCGTTAGCGAAGATCTCACTGAAGTTCCGCTTCTCCAGAGTCACCGACACTGACGTTCCCGTAGTCTTCAATAAGGGTCGGACTCTTTTACAGGCAAAACGACTTGTGGTCGGCATTCAGAAACGATAGATTATTTTAGGGTATATTTAATATGCAATTTGCTACTAATAACCAGTACATTTATCAAGTTATATAATAGAGATTATTTTGCTAAAATTTTGGGAAATAAAAATTGTGTTGAATATAAGTTATTAATTGTTTGTACTCCTAATTTTGGACACACAGCAAACTATTCAATTTATCTTAGATATTAAATTATAAAATAAAATTCTAGTTTTATGTTATGTTAAATGTGTTAAGGCCGCGTGCACAAAGTACGTACGCAAAATTTAGTTCAAAAATTGACCCCCCTCCCCCCTACACGCCCATCGTACATAAGAATTTAACATGGTGACACGCTTTG